TATCAGCCACCTAATCATCAAATTCTCGCTCAAAATCAGTGACTATGGATCCATAATTTCATCAAACGGCGTTATTTATTTGGATCAGTTGTGCTTTAGCAAATAAAAATTTAAATCAATTGAAGAAAATGTAAAGCTTATTGATTGATACTCATAGAAAGTTACAAAGAAACAGGTTCTATATGACAGAAAAAGTAATAGAAAGAGGCAACAAACAGACCGCATAAGATGCAAGATAACTGGACAAACAGATAAACTTAAAACAGAGTAGATTATTTAATAAGAGTTTTAACTCTTATAAGCTCTTGCAAAAGAAAATCCATACAAGGAAAAAATGTACCTGGATAGTGCAATAAGCGAACAAATCCCATTGGAGGATCCAATGCCCCAATTGTTTCAAAGAACCGTTCATCGAGTTTGAGAGACAAAGCAATCAGGGAAAGTAAGTGTTTTCCGATTATCCTGGGGCAGTTGTTCTTAATTTCAACAATTATAGATGTTTAATTTTGTAATTCATACAAATACAATCGCCAAAACAAGAAATTTTATGCACCAGAGGAAGATCAAATATCTATGCACCCTCAACCAAGAAAACTTAGAAAAAAAAACGATGATAATATTCATTACAGGAACAGAATTGATGAAAATCTTAAAAGTTTATATTAGTTAAAAATGCAAACTTTGTGTTAAGATCAGCACTTTAATGATCAAAGCAACGTTTTTTTACTTTGGTTAAAGTTAGTTGTTTCTATTTTATAGTCCTCTATTTTAATTTTCTTTGGTTCAGTTGTTGCAATGTTTGGTGGTCCAACCGAGCGGTCCATATGCATGATCCTTTGCGTGTATTAATAATAGCTTTTTTGTGAAGATATAGGCTGTTTTCCAGCGTGATTTATGGATGGTTTTTGTTTTGAGAAGATTGTGGGAGGCTTTTTTGAAATTTTATAGTTATAAATATTTAATTTCTCAGACAAGTAAATAAACCATCATAATTTAATGAAACTCTCCTTTTCTTTATACATGCCTTGGACGTGAATTATTGGAGTGCGGAATAAATGGAAATTAACAATTTTTGGGAAAGCAAACTACATGTACCGGCGTGAGGTATGGATTTCTATTTCTAATAATTTCTTTCTTAGTTCTTTTTCTTCTAAAATTATAATAAGTGGCTCGCTTGTGTCATTGAATTTGATTAAAACTTATAGAATATGGTTTCTAGTTGTAGCTTGATAAAAAGACACTTTTTATGATATTAAATATCTGCATGGAATCTCTGTTAGACAATCATTAAATGATTTTCTATGGGGATTCACATTATTTCTAAAGACTTCAACCTTAAAACAAAAGGAAAGTATTTATTTAAATTAGTGATTTGTTAAGTGCAAATATTGGGTTACAGCTCTTAAATAAATTCATTCCATTATTTATTTACATTAAAAAACGTAGAACCTAAGACATCTTGCATCACATTTGATATAAAAGCTAAGTTTTTCAATATATCAACTAGAAGTGCAACTCAAATTCAATTAGCAGATCATCAAAAGAACGGGCTTTTAATAAAATTAAATGAGTGAGGGGATAAATTAGGTTAAGGAGCAAATTAACAATTTGAATACTAATTAATTTGAATTTCATGATCCAAAAGTTGTATCTAATTATAATGACGAACCTATTAACTTGAATGTTAACATGTTTAGGAATCAACAAATTTATTATGAGAGGAAAGACTAAGTTAAATTTTATAGGATTGTGGTAATTATAAGTCTAGAAACATAAAATTTATAACATGGATATTGACATAACTAATGAGGTCAAAATTGAGGCATCTATGTTCGATAAAAAATAGATCCTAAGGTATTTTCTAACTATCCAAGAGACATAAATAACTTCTTTGGAGAACAATCAATGTCAGGTAAGCATAAGTGAAGTTTGCAAAAATTAAAATTTAAAAAGTTGAAATTAATTGGGCAAGCTACAGTATTTTAGAGTGAAAAATAAAAAGCAGAAACCTACAAAAACTACTCAGGCTATCATGAAATAATTCATCATTTAATACATGAATGAATTAGAACAATTACTATTGTGTTATGAAATAATTAAATATCCCCAAACAATGCTTACAAGGATCAGAAATAGAATAAGACTCATCATCAAACAAGAGATGACATCACATCATATTCCTTCACTTGGATATGCTTTCCAACTTGCATTCAATATTGAATAATGTTAAAATTTTCTACTCCTAAAGGAGTAATAAAAAAAAAATGTATTTTTTTTGTGAAAGATTCAAAATCAATATGTTATACCCATTACATCTTAGAAGGAAGTAACACTATTTTTAACACATACACTAAAAGAAAATTTGTTGCTACTACATTTTGACCACACTTTTTATGAGGTTGAAAAAAACATTCTTGGAGCTTAACCTTAACTTATAGGTCATCCTTCCTTAGCATAGGATCCCAGGTAGGTTCCTCTAGATGGATTCCTATTGACCTTAGCATTGGCTAGTCATAGAAATCCTAAAACTTTGACTTTACTTTGCTAGTTTTTGGAAGCCTGGACTTCTCCAGAAACTGCCTATAGGTAACCTAAACTTTATTAGGAGTCCCTAGAAGTCAAAATTTAGAAAGTTTTGGCACAGGTGGTACCTCTGAGGAACCCCTTGACCTACATTACTGTTGGGCCTACCTATCGAAACCATTGGAATTTGAACTGACCCAATTGGCCTCTAATCTATTCTATAGGTTTAGAAGAATAATTATAGGCTTGTTTAGAATCCTTCATAACCAAGCCAAAACCCAAATCAAAGTCACATCCTAAGGTATACTAAACCTTATTTACCCTAGATGGATAGTGGACCCAAGCTGGTAAACCCTAGGTCAACCCAAAGCCTAATTTAGCCAATTCAAAACCTAAACCTGGTCCTAAAGCATCTTATCTTGGCCAACCTTAGACTTCCCAACCTAGGAGCCCACTTAGGTGTCCTTGGATTTCTCTTGAACTCATCCCATAGGCCAAAGAACTTGGTTAACTTATCCAACACATGGAAAAGTTAGGTTTAATCAATATACCCATATAACCTGAACTGAAACCTTATAAACTAAATTGAACCTATTGGCCTTGGCATTGGCTCCAAATGACCTTAAATCATTTTAAGGTCATTAGGAGTCATGTTTGACTGAAGGTTAAATGCTCTTAGCCGTAGTCAAACCAAAGTTGTTAAACCCTTCAT